TGGATATTGCTGAGCCAGTGTTGACATAAAAATTTGATTTAACATATTCCTTCTATCACGAACATGAGGGTTGTTTTCGCTTTTGGAGTTAAACGACTTGTTATCGCCTGCTGCACACTGGTTATAACGATTAGTGTTTCCCAAGTTGGAATTTCGCTCATTCAATGTTACAGAGAAATTACATTGTTGTTGGCGTTTCGTAGCATTGACATAAAAACATGCGTAGTGAAAGCATAAATTGTTGCGGCTTGGGCTGCACTGCCTGCTGCTCCTTCGAATATAACGAACAGATCTGAGTGCTGATGTCAACCTGCTGACATTTGCTATTAGCTGCTGGACTGAAGTTTCAAGTGCTAGTACTCTCGATTGTAGAGATGGAACCGTTTTCTTCTCATGGCTAACTGTCGCATCAGTGCACTGTGACGTAGCCATAACATACTGCGAAGATGCCATGTTGTCCATAATTCGATCGGCCAATTCTGCTATTTGATCTATTTTAATTACTGGGTAACCGTTGTAGTCTGAGGCCTGCCAATGCTTCCACAGTAACGTGAGTGCCGGTTACATTTCGCATTTCTCTGAGTAGTTGCGATGGCTGTTTGTTTGATAGCTCTAAGTTCGTCAATAATTTCACAAACTGTTTTTGTTTCGACTTACCACATCTCTTTGCTAACTCATTTTTTAAAGTTATATATATTTTTGACGTGGAAGGACACTTCGCAATGTCTGCGTCCTAATGTAAAGTGTCTGTATCTATTGCTGTTATTACCTTGTAAAATTTTTACGCTTTTGCAGTAATCCGATGCACGTATAAAAATCCCTTTATTTTTGAAACCACAATTCTGAATCCGACTGGAAAAACTGAGGCAACTTAATTATGCTAACTGCTCCTACGTCCTGCTTGTATTCAAGTTGCTGATTTGTTTATTCATTGTCTGTATTCATATTGCTACTTCTTGGCCCAATTTCACTGATGTCGTTGCTTGTTCTTTTCGGGATCACCAGTGTGGTATTTCTGAATTACAATTTAATTATTAATTGTATCTCCGAAGTAATTGTATAATTTGAAAGCCTTAATTCTTATGATATTCAATAAGCACTTTAACTTATTGAATATTGCTTATTGGTTATAGATTAAGCACTTGAAACTTACTCTATATAAAGCAGAATTAGGTTTGACGGGAATCAAAGAATAGTTTTTATTGATTGATTACTTTCTTTATTGTTTCAATTTCTTTTATACAATTTTTGTGCAATAATTTTATTAATAATAATTATACCTCAGCAACAAATTAATTGGAACACTGTTAATAATGCAAAATGCAACGTTGCATATTTCACCGTTGCTCCAGTTAAGTTGTTGCCTCAGCTTAACATAAATATTCAAAATAAATTATTTCACAATTGCTAAATTGCTTAAAATATAAATTGAATGACACAATTTAACAATGTGAAATAATTTATTTATTACTTAATTTCTACCTTAACATTCTCCCCTCCGTTGAGTAGTATAATAATAACTCAACTACTTATACTTCCACAACGAGCTGTTGCCGTCTTGGGGTAGGTTGTGGATATGCTGTGGACTCAGATTGAGGTGAATCATCTTTTCGTCGGGTTTGTTTACACTTCTTCATAGATTTGTATATTATGTAAGTGCAACACAATGTCAGCAGTAAAATAGTTCCCACGTAACTAATTATATGGTGTGGTTGAGAAACTGGTTCGGCCTTAACTGAAAACTTATCCATAGCCTTTAACCTTTGATGTAACATGGATAGTTCTTTCAGTTGTGTTTCAAGATGATCGTCAGCCTTGTTGATGATTGTTTTTATTTCATTTGGTGTAGTTATGGATGCAAGCTGTTCTACATGAACAAATGATGAATGAACTACAGATGGCAACGAGTAATGACCTTGAATTGTAACTAGATTGTTTCTTATTGTACATTCTGGTCGTAAAGTTAGAATGCCCGATCCTTCTATTGTGACTTGATTTAATTGTGTTCCGCAAACAGATGACATCTCAGTTTTATTCACTGTAGCATATATCCATTGATTTGTTTGTTCCATTTTCGTCCAAACCATCTTATTGGATAACTGTGTTAATCTGCAGCTTGTTGTGGTTCGATTATTAAATAATTCTATCTCACACGTATGAGTTTCTGAGTATCTGCCTAGTTTTATATGCTTTCTAGAACAAATATACACCGCCTTGTTCGGAATTTGACAATTATCTAGCTCATTTTCTCGCAGGGGAATGTATTGATCTCGAAATGTGTTTACTGCTATAAACGAGACATCACTTTTGATTGTTAAAATGGTGTTGTTTATAACTGTTGGTATGGGTAATATTCTGAATAGTTCCATGTCATAGGAATCTATAAGTGGTACCTTAATAACAAATATGATTTGTTCCTTAGTTACTGCTCCAGATATTTCCATTATTCTGTAGAGTTGAACTAAATCATCTTGATTAACCGGAAATCGTCGAGATGGCGGAATATGACTTCTTATATGCTTAATCTCATTTTTTAGTTGTTGAGGTGATAACAATAGAGGACTTATTTTTCCGTGATGAGAGTCAATTAAAACATTTATAATTTCCGCTTGTATTCTTTGCAAATTAGCACCCATCAGTGTCAATTGTATTGCAATTGATATGAATATCTGCGTAATTTTAATTTGTTCGGTTTCATTGTCGATTCGATTTAGTACTTGGCTAATTTGATCTTGAAGTTGACCAAGTTGACTATTAACAGTTTCTTCATCACGTTTAAGTATATTTAATGTTGAATCTATTATGGAGGTTTGATTCTGCAGCAATCTAGCTAGGTGGTTATCATCTTCCTTTAGCTGATTTATTGTTTGTGACATATCCTCTGCATAATTTGAGTCCAGAACCCCAAATAAAGCCTTTGCCACATTTCCAACGAGGTTTATGGCTCCTCGTTTATCTCGTCTGTTGTTTAATAAAATCTTCTCCTGTAGGATATCATCTCTTGTATGCTCAAACGTACCTACGAGCGTGTGACAAGCCGAACCCTGCTGTAGTTTGATGCACAATTTATCTAGTGCAGAAATTCCATTAACGAATGTGTTACATTGGGTCTGTACCGGAGCTAATTCATAATAAACAACCATTTTCCATTCACCTGTTACCATCTGAACAGTGCCCATATTTTCGAAGTAGAGACCAATACTTGAATTAAGCTGTGTTGTGGTTACAGGATTGCCCAATATAATTGGCAGAAAGAATAGTGTGAGAATAATTGCGAATAATGTTGTTTGTTGGGGCAACTTTATTTTCTTTGATGGAACTACCAAGGTATCTTCCTGGCTTATGTTTGAATGATGTTTTCGTTTTTCTTCTTTCTCTTCATCTTCTCGAAACAGTGGAGCAAGCCGATGAATAGGTCGTTTACAAATTCCTGCAACTGTCTTCACTTCCACTACTCGTACCATGCCGTCATCGCCGTGAAACACTTTTGTAACACGACCTAAGGGCCAATTGAGTGGAGCTGTATTGTCTTCCTTGATTATGACCAACGTGTTTTCTTTGACATTGTCAACAGGAACCTTCCATTTATGTCGCTGTTGTAGTTCTGTTAAGTACTCAGCGTTCCATCTTTTCCAAAATTCAAGTCTCAAATGAGAAACCAATTTTCACCTAGTAAGTAGGTTGTGATTTGTCCCATGAACATTGGTGTCTATAGGTGAAGTAAGTGGTTCACCAATTAGGAAGTGACCTGGTGTCAATGCGGCAAGATCGTTTGGATCTGATGACATTGGTGTTAATGGTCTTGAGTTCAATATTGCTTCAATTTCCACAATGATCGTTTCCAACTCTTCATAGGTTAATGAAGCTGTTGATGTACTTCGAACTAAATGATATTTAGCTGATTTAACAGCTGCCTCCCAAAGACCCCCGAAATGTGGAGTTCGAGGTGGAATGAATTTAAATATGATTAATTTATCACTGCATGTTTGAACTATTTTATTTTGAACAGAAGTTCTACGTAGCAGTTCGGATAATTCATTTAATTTATTGTTCGCACCAACAAAATTTGTAGCATTGTCACAATGCAGCGTCTTGCAATGTCCTCGTCGAGCTATGAACCTCTTCAGTGCACCAATAAATGCATCAGAAGTTAAGTCGCTCACCACTTCTAAATGGACTGCTTTTGTGGCAAAACAACAAAACACTGCTACATAGACCTTGTGTGGTCTTTTTCCTCTGATTTTGTAATGAACCCAAAATGGTCCACAAAAATCTACTCCTGCATTGTAGAATGGCCTTGAAGGTTGAACTCTAGCTGGTGGTAACTGACCCATTATTTGTTGAAATGTTGTTGGTCTGCTTCTTGTGCAGCGGACACAATGTTGAACCGTTGATCGAGCCATTATCTTTCCCTTGATGGGCCAAAATTGAAGTCGGATTTGTGACAATAATGCTTGTGCACCACAATGCATGTTTTTTCTATGAACATCAACGAAAACAGTTTTCACAATTGGATCATTATATGGCAATACCATTGGATGTTTGGTATCATAAGCTATAAGTGATGATGAAAGTCGACCTCCGACTCTTAGAATTCCGTTACTATCTAAGAATGGACTTAAACTAGAGAGAGAACTAGTTTTGTGCACTGTTCCATTTGAGTGTAATTGCTGCAATTCTTCCCTGAAATCGCTTTGTTGTATTATACGTATGATTATTTGTAATGATGAGTTCAACTCGTCTGGACTTAATATTAAAGAGGTAGTGTGCCTGTTGTCTTTGCCTTTGGAGTATTTTACAAATCGTAGTGCGTACGCAATGATTCGTTGCAATCTTGCAAACGAGTTTCTATAATTGATCTTATAGATGAAATCTTCAGTAATGCTGGTGATTGCTGAAGTTACGATTGAAGGTTGTGTTGAGCATTGCATTTCAAGCGCCCTCCCTTTGGTTTCAGAATGATCAGTTATAAGATGTTCCTGAGCAATTGGACCTGGCCATTATGATTCCCTTCCATATATAAGCAGTGGTCCAAAAAACCACATGTGACTGGAATGTAATTCCGTAGGTTGTAAACCCCTTGATAGGTGATCTGCTGGATTTAATTTGGACCTTACATGACACCATTGGCTTGCATTAGATATTTCATGAATTCGTACTACTCTATGTGCTACAAATGTTTGAAAAATATTTGAGTTAGAGTTGATCCAGTATAATACAACTTGTGAGTCTGTCCATAAAAAAGATTTGTGGTTATCGTATACAAGATCTTGTTTAACCTTCGCTAACAGTTGGGCTCCCAGAAATGCTGCACACAATTCTAATCGTGGAATTGTTTGCCTTCTTAATGGCGCTACTCTTGATTTTGAGCAAAGTAGCCGTACTGTGATTGTACCTGTTTTTAGAATCGCTCTTACATAGATTGCTGCTCCATATGCCTTTTCAGATGCATCTACAAAGCAATGTAATTGAATATCTAATGGAATTTCGTGGTTTAAAACATGTCTCGGAATGATCATATTATTAATTTCTTGCAGTCTTGACCGAAACTTAACCCATTCGGCTTCATATTCATGAGGTAACGGATCATCCCAGGTCGTCTTTAATTCCCAAATTCGTTGAACAAATATTTTTGCTGTGACTATGATTGGTGCTACCAATCCCAATGGGTCATAAACTCTTGCTAAGTCTGAAGCTACTGAACGCTTAGTAAAAGTTGTACATGGTGTTATACTTGTTGTTATGCACAAATTATCAAGCTGTGGTGTCCAAATCATTCCCAAAGTCTTAGCTGTTTTGAACGAACAAGTAGAAATATCCCAACAGACTTCTTGATCATGTGGTGAAATGTTTTGTAGTAATTGTGGGTGATTAGCGCACCATTTTCTTGGCTTAAAACCATATGATTTCAAAATGTTAATTAGTTGTTCTTGAATCACCTTAGCCTCTATCAGACTGTTAGAACCACATAATCCATCATCGACATAGAAATCTCTTCTTAGGGTCTCTGCTCCAAATGGATAAGTACCAGAACTTTCTCTAGCTAAAGTTTGTAAACATTTGGTAGCTAAGTATGGAGCTGATCGAGTCCCATATGTCACAGTTTTTAGTTTATAAAATCGTAGCGGCTCTTGTGGATTATTTCTCCAAATGATTAATTGTAGCATTTGATCTTCTGGGTGAATAAGTATTTGCCTATACATTTTCTCAATGTCCGTTGTGAAAGCGTATCTTGGAATTCTGAATCGTAATAATATTGAGAATAGATCGCTCTGTACCACAGGACCAGTATGCATAATGTCATTTAATGATCGACCTGATGAAGTTTTACTAGATGCATTAAACACAACACGTAATTTTGTCGTGGTGCTATCTGGTTTTATCACGCAATGATGAGGAATGAAATAATGTGAGGCCATGATGTCATCAGGTTGAATTTCTTCCATGTGACCGAGATCTTTATACTCAGTCATAAACTGCACGTATTGTGCCCTTAATGCTTCATTTTTTGACAGCCGTCGTTCAAGAGAGAAAAATCTGCGTTGTGCAATTTCACTAGAGGATCCTAATGTTGATACACTGTCAATAAGTGGCAATTTCACAATAAATCTGCCTTCTTTAGTACGTTTCAAGTTTTCCACAAAATGAGTTTCACATAATTTTTCTTGATCAGACAGTAGTTTTGAATTTTGTGCTGATTCTTCAAGATCCCAAAATCGGACGAGGAGATTATTTAGCGAATCTTCTTCTTCGCTAAACATACAACAGACAGCGTCACCTTTTGCTGTTTCTGATAGTTTGCCACTTACAACCCATCCAAGAGTAGTATTCTGGAGTATTGGTTTGTTGACTCCCAATTGGATTTGCCCTGACGTTAAGAGATGTGGATAAAATTCAGCTCCTAATAATACGTCTATTTTTTGTGGCTCATTGAAGTTAGGATCAGCTAATGTAATATTTTTTGGAATGTTCCATGAACTGATATTGACACATTGTGTTGGTTGTGGAGCAATAATATGTGGTAACACAAATGCTTCTAAATTTGTATTGAAATTGCTATTCATTGATTTAAAGACAGTGCTGATTCTTTGACGAGCACCCTTTGTGGTGTTACCAACTCCATTTATACGCATTGATGTTGCTTTTGGAGTTATTCCTAGTCGATGAGCTACCCTCTCGGTCATTAAATTAACTTGAGAACCTGAGTCTAATAATGCTCTACATTGAATTTCTTGGCCGTTATGTGCCAATAATCTTATAGTTGCTGTTCCTAAGAATACATATTGCTGTTTATTGTCCTTTCTTGCAATAGTTAATGATGCTTGATGATCAACGCTTAAACCTGTGCTTACATTGCGTTGAGTATTGTTAGACTTTGGTATTGTTGTTTGTTTTTCAGTGCCATTAACCCATGAGTTTACATGTAGTAAAGAGTTGTGTTTTTGATTACATTTGATACAATTGCCTGATTTACAGTTGTATGCTATATGACCTGGTCGCAAACAGTTACGACATAAGTTTTGTTTTTTAACAAATTGTAGTCGTTCAAAAGTATTTGCTTGTAAGAACCCTTTGCATTGGTATATTTGATGTAAATCTTGCTTACAATATATGCATGATTGCCTGGTTGATTTGTTGATTGTTGCGGTATTACATACCTTTACGTTATTATTGGTAGTACTCTTTTGGCCGATTGCTTCCAGAGTTTGAAAACGTGTTTCAATGAAACTTAGAAACCCTGTCATTGATTGTAATTCCTTTGGCCTTGCCAATGATTGCTCATACAACGTATGTGTAGTTGCATCCAGCTTCTTTGTTAATAAATGAAGGAGGAGTGGATCCCAATGAACTGTTTGAACATTTAAGTTATTTAATGCCAACAAACATTCATGTATGACATCATGTAGTGACTTTAGAGACATTGCAGTGCCAGAGCATTGAGGTTGTCCGAGCAGCCGTTGTATTAACATGGTTGTTAATATCCTCTTATTCCTGTATCTCTCCTGAAGTATCTTCCATGCTACGTCGTAACTATCATTGGTAGTTGGCAGATGTCTGATGAGCCTCTCTGCTTCTCCTGATAAATTATTTTTTAAAAACCACATCTTTTGTACCTTGGGTAGTGATTGGTTGTCTACCATTTGAGAGAACATATCATAAAATTGTGTCCATTTAAGATAATCTCCGTCAAATCTCGGTATAGACACCTTCGGTAATTGAATTGGATTGTTAGTTACCTCTGTTGTAACTACATGTGGTTGTTTTGTTATTATCAGCTCAGAAATTGAAATCAAAGTTTGTTGTATTAATTCCTCTAATTGTTGATATTCGTCTATATTGTAACCAATTGATAGTGGGTCACTAGCGATTTCCCATATATTAAAATTGAGTTCCTCAATTTCTTGCCACAACTTGTTGATTTTTATTTTGTATATTTCCAACGCAGTAAACGTGTTTGATCCCAAATCTCCTTGGACCTTCTCCAATAGTCGTTTTAATGATATTTTCATTCCCATTTGCTTGTTAATGAGACATGAAATTTCTGTTTGTTTAGATACTTGCGACTTCTTGCTGAGATTTGCTTCATCACTGAACTCCTGTAGTTGCTGAGTGAATCGAGCAATGTAACATTCTGCTAAGTCTTTAGTTTTTAAATAATCCTCATTAGTAAAATATTCATGAGTGGTTTCGACATCTGACAACTCTCTGATACGGTTGTCATTTTCTTCAAATTCAGACCATATATTAGTTAAACGCCTTTTACGTTCTTCAAAGTAAGCCTTATTCAATTTCCTTTCTTTTGGATCCTCTTTGAAATTCGAAATCAATTTCTGGATTAATTGACCCAGTTGTTGCTGTTCGAGAATTAGCCCCTCAAAAGTTTCCATATTTGTTTCCAGCAAATCAGGTACCTTGGTGCTTGTAATGTGTTCGCAGCTCACACTGTTGTGCTCTTGCTATTTTATTGAAAGCTCACACTTGTTGTGCTTTTGCCTTTTATCTGCTTGAAGCTCACACTGTTGTGCTCTTGCTTCGACGCCTTAATGAAGTAGTATGTGATCGTGATCTTTGGTCACGTCCTTGATTTACGTCCTTGATCTACGTCGATCACGTCGGGGTCACCAAAATTTATGTATATTTAAAATACCTTAATCCTTATAATATTCAATAAGCACTTTAACTTATTGAATATTGCTAATTGGTTATAGATTAAGCACTTGAAACTTACTCTATATAAAGCAGAATTAGGTTTTTAGACGAGAATCAAAGAATAGTTTTTATTGATTGATTACTTTCTTTATTGTTTCAATTTCTTTTATACAATTTTTGTGCAATAATTTTATTAATAATAATTATACCTCAGCAACAAATTAATTGGAACACTGTTAATAATGCAAAATGCAACGTTGCATATTTCACCGTTGCTCCAGTTAAGTTGTTGCCTCAGCTTAACATAAATATTCAAAATAAATTATTTCACAATTGCTAAATTGCTTAAAATATAAATTGAATGACACAATTTAACAATGTGAAATAATTTATTTATTACTTAATTTCTACCTTAACAATCTGTTTTTAATATTTATTATTTTACGACCATTAATTGTTTTACATGTAATCATGTGATTTTTTCTTTTGCTACTGAAAAGACGCGCTAAATATTAATGGACGCTGGACCATTAAGTTATACGGTATTTACACTGGCTGAATAGCTCATTCTTGCATACAAAATTACAAGCGCGAATGCATTCCATTTTAATACATTCTGTATGAATGCGTCCCACAAAAAAAGGTAAACAAATGTTTTGTGGTTGTATTTTCATGAAAACGATACACCTTTTTTTAGAACTTCTACTTCCCAAAAAGTAATTAATCGAAATTAAAAATATGTTTTAAGTTTATATTGCAAGGTTTGAAGGCATATATAACCGTCATGCAACATTTTTTTTGGCACAGGCCAAAAATCAAATCAATAGACAAGTTGAAAAATCAGCTGTTAGAAACGGGAACAAATGAATTACAACGAATGTACACACTCCAAAATGGCTCATTCAAAACGAGCCATTTTCGGCCAATGAAAACGTCATATTAGTTACTGTTCATAATTTTGTTTTTACATCACGCCAGATGGTGTTAAGCTGGTTAATGTGTGGCGTTCACTTTGCCATCTACCGGGAAATTAAAACCAAAAATAATCTTTTTTGTGTGAACAAGCAACCAACTTTAAGTAGACGTCAAATAAAATAGTCAATCAGCAATAAGTATGTTTTTTATTTTGTATAAACTTATGGCACAACAGCCATAAATTGGTGACCACTACAGAAACAATCACGCAAACTTCAAAAAATAAAAAAAACGTAAACTGCAAAAACCAGGCGAAACTTTTTAACCAGATTTAGATTTAGATTTGTCAAAGTTCTACACAATAATCATTGCGCTGGAGGCAGAAACGGTGCAACAAGTTGCAGATATGCAAAAAATCCGCCTGAAACAGGTAAATACGACAAATTAAACAAGGAACTAATTTCTCGTTTTTCCGAATTGTCAGAAAAGCAGCTCATGAAGTTGCTCACTGTTCTGGAACTTTTAAACAAAAAACCAAGCCAACTGGTACGTGAAATGCGCACGTTAGCAGGCGCAAATGTCTCAGAGGAGACATTGACAACACTGTGGTTGCAACGTATGTCAAACAACGTACGATGCATTCTAACAGCATGCAAAACCACAAGTATAGATGAGTTAGCAGAAATAGCTGATAGAATATTAGACAACAGTCCAGTACCATCTTACGCAATGACTACAAATGCCAACAAATTGAATGACGCAATGAAACTCCGGGTAACAACCCGCAAAATATGTTGAAATAACAAATTTCAACAGGTACCAACTACCGTTAAAATTTTTTGCGACACTTCTACTTTTACAGGTCGTCCTTTCATTCCTCAATCCTTAAGACGAAGAATATTCGACACAGTTCACAACTTATCCCATTCCGGTAATAGAGCAACAAAAAACAAATAAGTCAGAAGTATGTTTGGCCGTCGTTAAAAAAAAACATTACGCGGTGGACTCGAACCTGTATTGCATGTCAGAAATCAAAACTTAGTCGGCATAATCAATTTCTTCCTAAAAAATTTCAACACACAAGTCAACGATTTGACCACGTACATGTAGACATTATCATAGTGCCTGAACATAAAGGGTATAGGTACTGCCTCACGATGATCGACAGGTTCACTCGGTGGCCAGAAATCATGGCCTTAAAGGACATGTCTGCAGAAACTGTAGCAACGCAATTTTATTCAACATGGATTGCGAGATTTGGTTCTCCTAAAACTATAACGACCGACCAAGGTACGCAATTTGAATCAGCACTTTTTGAGTCACTTGGTAGACTAATAGGTGCAAAACGCATTCAAACAACTGCGTATCACCCAGCATCAAACGGGATGATATAGAGATGGCACAGATCATTAAAAATCGCGTTAATGTGCAGCACTAAGTTTAACTGGTTTGAGACTCTACCTACGGTTCTCCTGGGCATAAAAACTGTCTGGAAAGAAGTCATAAATGCCTCTGCAGCTGAAATGTTGTATGGAACGACATTAAGATTGTCGGATGAATTTTTCAGCGATGAATCTGACACAGATGAACAGCAGTCATTTTTATGCAAGTTTAAAGAGTTTAATCAAAACTTTAAATCAACTCCAGCAGCGGATCACATCAAGAGACATATATTTGTTCACAAGGATCTTTATACATGCACGCAATTATTTTTACGCATTGATCACAATAAAAAACTACTCGAACCTCCATATTCAAGGCCCTTCAAAGTTATCAAACGCATTAACGACCGTCTTTTTACAATCGAAATAAATGGAACAAACGTTAATGTCGCTGCAGAGCGATTAAAACCCGCATTCACGGTTGAAGATCCACAGCAAATGAAGCCTCCACTGAAAATATGTAGCAATCCAGTTAAAAGGTCAGACATCAAAAAGCAAGTGACGTTTGCAGACACAGCAACAACATTTCCATCGTGACTAGCGCACTGAGGAGGGAGTAGCTGAGGCGTTTACATTGCCATCTACCGGCAAAGTACAACCAAAAATGAATTTTTTTGTATGAATAAGCAACTAACTTCAAGTAGATGCCAAATAAAATGGACAATCAGCAATAAGTGTGTTTTTTATTTATTTTTATTTTTATTTTATGGTAAAACAGCTATAAATGTGTCACATATTGTTCACAATATGAATGCATCAGTTGTTGCATTTACAAAAGAATATGCAATGGTTCATAAAAAATAACAAATTACTCGAAATCCACAAATAACAATGCTTTCTTCGATTATTACTAGAAGCTAAATGAAGTGCTGGACTTTGTTAAGTACGGACAGTAAATATTATTTAGGACGTGTGCGAGTTAGGCTAAGTTGATGCTAAACCAAACAATTTTTTAATAAAAGACTAAGTAAAAAAAGAAAATACGATAAATGATTTAATGAATGATACTAAATATTTTGTATAGAAAAACAATAAGTGATTTTGTAATATCGTAATGCATTTTATATATCGTAATTTGAAAACATTGATTTATGTCGTTCCTCGTAACATATGTTGTCGTCTTGTGTGGCGGCCTGGTGAGTAATTATAACTCCTCCCCCCTTAGAGTAAAGCGATGGTCACAAGGAATTGCTTGGCGTAGGAGCGATAGTATCCGAGGTGTCGGGGTGTAAGTTAGATGGCCTCCACGTGGTGCACCCTGGGTAATGCTAAATGATCTATCTCTCACCGGACACTGTCCCTTTCATGGGCTCCAGTATCCGCTGGCAACGACCGCTTTTTCGTCCTCGGACTACTCTACTGATCAATTTCTCTGTTTTTGATCGCCTTGGGCTGGTGGTTACAGGTTTCTGGACCTAGTTGTCTTCTGACACGGTAGCACCGGGGTGACACTCGCGTGTGAACGGCTCCAGGCTAAGTCTGTGGCTGCCTCCGTCCCGTTAAAACCCTGGCAGGCCTCAAAGTACGTTCTGCATCCGTCGCCATTAAGTTGGCCGTGTAGGTTCGGTTGTAGCTGGGCTCCCGATTAGCACTGATCTGGCTCTGAGCACCTGTTTCCCATAAGGACTGGTGCCAACCCTCGCATGGCCTCCCTGCACTTGCATAGATAACCATGGGATCTTCGCCGGTGACTACACTCACGGGTTTCAGATAGCGGCTTTGAGTGGGGACCCAACAGAATGAATAATAATAAAAATAAAACTAATAAACAAACCTCCAACCCTTCGGGGGGACGCTCAAGCCTTACTAGGCAAGCGTCTGTCAATCCGTCTAGACCTCTCTCTCAGACGGCATTACTAAGCACAGCTTCGTCATCGAGCACCTCGGCGTCTATGCCAGGTAGCAACGCTGCCTCTTGTTCTTCTGCAGGCGCACCGGTCAAAGCGAATTTGCTGACCGCTCCACCAGCAACCAACACCAACTCCAATTCCGGTGTAAAATCTCATGTCAACCCCTCGACGAGGGCGTATAGAACACGGAGGACAGCTCACCGTATTCTTGCTAGGCTAAACGCCGCCGACCCTTCTTCGCTAACAGAAAGCGACAAGGCAAAAATAACTTGGGCAAGGGAGAATGTCAAAGTCCGTCCCGCCGATTTTATAAAAAATACCTCTGCCCCTGTGCAAAAACGACAAAGGTCGACTGAACAGGCTGGACAGTCAGCAACGTCCACATCTTCGAAGCGTCCCAAGCTGGGACCTTCAAAACCCTCCAAACCTCTTAGTGAAATCATTAAGGAGAGTCTGACTTGGGCCATAATTGATACTGGCAACAGTGACGGCACCATTTCCCCAGTTAACTGGAAAAAGGTCGAGCGGGCT